TTTGCTCAGCGACTGATCTTTCTTTGTAAGAACAAGAATTAAGTCACAGAAGCCCAAGTCCACAGATCACAGGTTTACCCCCGTGTTTGCTCTTGGGGGCAATGGTTGTCCCTGAGCCAGCTGTGTGGAGGTTGCAGAGCAAGAATCAAGGGCATGCCAGGTGGAGTTGCACTCCCCATGGAGGCTCGTCCTTGGGTGCACTCCTGGACTCAGCCTGACTTTCTGACACATGCTTGCAGCCCAACTCAGAACACAGTACACAGTAAGACCATTTTTTATTGCAAATCAGATTACAAGGACCACCCTCCCAGCACTCCCAGCAAAGCTTATAGTGCTGATAGAGCCCAATATTTCAACCAGCCTAGGTAGAGGCTGCTGCTTTCTTTAATGGAAACTTCCAAGGCTAGAATCCACACAGAGGCAGAGCTGGCATTCAAGTCGGGCAATATATTCACTTTCCAGGGGACATTGGGGGAACTGCTGCACACCAAGCCATTTGTCCTGCCCGCCCTCAGGGTACCTATTTGAGAGTTGCTTGTGCTGAGCCACCACCTTTGTGCCAGGTACACTTTTTAGTGCACTGAGTTATACAGGAGCCTAAAGGGTTGCAGGGTTTCAACAAACAAGATCTTTTTTGCTTCACCCCAAAATACATTGGAGTTTCATCCTGAAACCTTTGAAGAATCCTGCAGAAGAGCTAGATGTTGGGACCTGTTCCCCTGTTTATTTTCTTCAGAGAAGTTGGTGTGCTTATCAAACCTTTTTCTCAGTGTTCCTTCTTCCTTGAAAGTGGTCTTGGGGCACTCAGAGGGCAACTGACAGGTATTGGCTACAAATCACTTATAAAACCAACTGGAGATATCATAAAACTGGCTCTTGCTGAGAGTGCAAGTCTTCAGCAGCCAGGAGAACAGGAGAGGGGAAATTCTTGGAATTATAGGAAGGCAAGGAAAAGAATTGGCATGATATCCTCCCCCAGTGATAGATGATGGAATTCCTGTAGCCCAGAGAGTTACAGATGTGAAGAACGATTACAGATGTGAACAACAAAGCTGAACAATTAACTGAAATGGGAAAACTAATTAATTCCCTGCTTAGGGTTACAGGTCTGATAAAATTTCTTCCCGAGTATACCGGTGGTTATTGCTATCTATGGTGGAATTATGGAGAAAGGGAATGTTTTGCTCTGATGATTTGTACAATAAAGCAACATCTACTTGGAATCTTACTAACACTCTTACAGCCAGAGAACTCCATGTATACCAAAAGCCCTGTGTGAAGAAAATGAACAAATAAAGACTAGAGTAACAAGAAGGATATTAAAAGGAAAAGGGTGATGAAAACCAAAAGTTGTTATATATAAATTAAAAAATGGATTTTAAGAATTCGCATGTACTTAATAAATCTAAGAAAGTCAAACCCTGAAGTCATCCAAGAGAAAAAATAATGAAAAACAGACAGATATTGAAATCCTATGAATTATTCTAGTAGGTCCTCCCCTCCTCTTGCAAGAAGATGCGAGATGACAAATATGCAGGATCCATAGCTTTATGCCCTCAGTAAAAATAATAATACCCTAATTAGAATACATGATTTAGTTCACAATGCCTTGTCTAATCAGGCAGAATTGATAGATGGTTAAAAAGAAACCCTGGGAAACTGGTATTAATGTATCATAAATTGGTCCTTTCTAATTATCTAAAGCCTAAGGGCATTTTATCTCTGAGTCAGCATAAGCTGCACTTAATACATTCTCTAGAGCCAATTACTTTGGGGGTTCTACCTAGTACTGATGCTGTAAAGGTTGAATATTTGTTATTCAACTATAAATATGCCTTTGCAGTAGTACCTTTCCAAGAATGGCAAACAGCCAAGACACTATATTGTAGGAAAGCTGAGCTTCTGGATATAGTGTTAACTGTTTCTAGATTTTTTGAGAATAAGGACTTTCCTGTATTAATTCTAGAACAGAATTTCTGGTTCATTGTGATGAAAAACGCTTTAATAATGGAGAGAGCAATGAGAGGGTGAGCTTATAATTCTGAATACTTTTATAGCTCATGATTGTCCAGATAGGGATAACTCAGAGTAGTTAGAAAGAAGTGAGCACAAACCACTGCAAGAGAGTCAGCTAGAGATTATGGACAGAGATGATAAGTTTATCTTTGAAGGAAACAGTCTTCTGAAATAAATTTTGTGCTCCATCCATCTAGTCTCAAAATGAAGTAATATTGAGTTTAAAGTATTTGATAGAAATCCTGTATCATCAGACAGACTGTGACTTAAGGCCTAAAGTACTCTGGATATAATTTTTAAAAGACAAGGAAAGTGGTGATAGAAGCTAATAAAAGAGGAATGGGGATGGGAAATGAACAACAGAGTGAGAACCTTAGAGCATGCAATAGTTTAGAAAGGAAAACACTCCCCAAAGGGAGGGTATAATTGTACCGTATCTACTATAAACACTGCATCAAATAAGGTTACTTTTTGACTTGGCAGAACTGAGTGACTCTGCGCCTAATAGTAAGATCAACAGGAGGAGGGAGAAGTTAGGAGAGGAAGTGAACAAAGAGAAATGGAAGTATTTCTGCAGATAAGAGAGGAAAAATGGATAAGAGTGAAGAAATAGGTTGACCAACTATAATGCAGGACAATCAAGTCCTGGAAAAGTTGAGTTAGAATATTGTAAAATTAAGCCTTCAATGAAGAATTTTGGGATTTAAGCAATTTGATATTTTGGGGTATCAAGAAACATGTTCTCAGAAGAAAATAGATTTAAATGAATTTTAGATCTAGACTGTAGAGGTCAGATTAGGTTATAAGAAAGGCAAATCAATGGCCCCACCTCAGCACACATAAACTTCTCAACTCAGTGTTTCAAAGGCATCCAATGTACAGACTGAGGTGCATTGGTGGAGATCTTCATGGCCTGCACATTCCCCAGTGAAGTGGTAAGGGTGGAGGAGAATTGGCTGGGGCACCAGCTAAATTTGGTATAACCATCAGTCCCAGCCTCCTCCCTTCCTTGGCCCCCCAGAATGCCACAAATTTCTCCCCTCCCCACATCTGTGGCCAGTTGGTGACCTTATAGAGGCTGCAGCATGGTTTTTTCCACGTCAGCTCTGAGAGGGGCAGGGCAGGGGCTTGTAGACTTCAGATTCTGAATAATTATGGCCCCATAGTTGATGTCACGAGGCCATAGGAATGCACCCTTTGTATGTCTATAGCAGGCATGTCCAAAATCCGGCTCGGGGGCCAATTGCGGCCAGTTTTCAAATTTCGAGCGGCCCGCAGCCTCTTCTCCCTGCCGGCTCAGCCTGTCACTCATCCCCGCCAGCCGGCGTTTTTCCCTTCACCACACAGCGGTTCCCGCAGCTGTCCCCTGCTGCCTCCTGCTCCTTCAAGGCTGGTGGTTATATTTCACCAGAAGATGGCAGTAGACCTGAGTCAGCACTCTCACCACGTGACCCTTGTGACACAAGGCTTGTGTGCCCATTTCTAAAATGGCGACTGTAACTAAAAAAAGGAAAGTTGACAGCGAGGGCCGCCGCTTCCAGGACAAGTGGAAATTGGAGTATTTTTTCACTGAAATACGAAACAACTGTGCCTAATTTGCCAAGAGACTGTAGCTGTTTTCGAAACATGCTAACTACAACAAGCTAACTGGGAACGAACACGGCGAAAAATTGAAGGAACTGGAAGCTGCTTTAACGGCACAGCAGCGCTTTTTCACAAGAGCCCGTGAGTCGAATGAAAATGCCACAAAGGCAAGCTACGAGGTGGCAATGCTGATTGCCAAGCACTGCAGACCTTTTACTGAGGTTGAATTTATTAAAGACTGCATGATGAAAATGGTGGAGAAAATTTGTCCTGAGAAGAAGCAAGAGTTTGCCAGTGTTTGCCTGGCTCGTAACACTGTGGTACGGAGAATTGAAGACGTTTCATCTGATATTAAGAGACAGTTAGAGGCAAAAGGAATGGAGTTTGACTTTTTTCATTAGCCTGTGACAAAAGCACGGATGCATCTGACACTGCTCAGTTATTGATTTTTTTGAGAGGAGTGGACAATGACATGAATGTGAGTGAAAAGCTACTTGACCTCCAGAGCCTTAAGGACCAAACAAGAGGAACAGATTTATTTGTTTCTGTTTGTTCCGCCATAGATGACATGAAACTACCGTGGAATAAAGTCACTGGGATTATTACGGATGGCGCACCTGCCATGGCTGGCGAGCAAAGTGGATTATCAACCCTAGTCTGTAACAAAGTCAGTGAAGAAGGAGGCAAAGCTATAAAACTCCACTGTGTTACTCACCAACACTTTCTCTGTGCCAAACATCTGAAATATGATCATGTTATGAAACCAGTGATGAAGGCTATTAATTATATTCGCTCCAAAGCCCTGTCCCACCGCTAGTTTCAACAGTTTCTACTTGACATCCAGGCTGAATACGGAGATGTTGTGTATCACAATGAGGTAAGATGGCTCAGTTGGGGGTCTGCACTGCAGCGCTTCTATTCTCTTAGGGAGGAAGACAACCGTACGTCCATTTAAATCATGAATTCACCTAAGCAGAATTATAGATTTGTCATTCCAGGAGAGGCATGACATGGAATGGCTGATTTTAAAAAATTGCACTCACATTTCCTAGTACTTCTTAAGGCAGAGTGAAACTACAATGATTAAACTAATTCAGGGCTGCAATTTGAAATCCTCATGTGGTCATATAATCGCAATGATGCTGGAATGAGGAACTTCTTTGTTTAGCCTTGCATATGTAACAGGTCCAGGCTGTGACTTCTGGGTTTCCTACCTCTTCAAATGTTCTGCTTCCATCCCCCAGTTGGAGTAACCCAATTTAATTTTGTCCAGTCCTTCTATTAGAGGCTCATGGAATCAAGCAAATTTTGGATGCTCCACATCTACGTAGACACCTCTCTCTGTTATAACTCCTTGTCAATTCCATACCTCCATCAAAGTTTTCAGTGCAGTAGGCGTCATGTACAGCAGTCCCATATGTGAGAACTCGGTCACCACAAAAGTAAGGCAAAAGAAGAGAACACAGTGACAGGCTAGTTCTATTTTCCAAACAAGATTACCAACAGTTGGTTGCAGCAAAAACAGAAGCATGTTGTGGCACCTTAAAGCATTTTTCCTCAAGCAGCTGTTCTCCATAAGTTTCTGTTTGAGTGATCAAACTATTCCCAAGAATAAAAATTCATATTTTCCCCTCTTGTCCTTGTCATGCTTGATCATGCTAGTGCACCCAGACATGGCCCCTTGTGTCCTTCCAAGGTTAATGAGGCAGCTTCCAATGCTCTAACCCAGTTTGGTGTTTCCCCAGCCTGGTGCGGCCTAGACATGTTGGTGTTCAGCATGACAGAGATCTGAAATGGATTCCAGTGACTTCAGATGTCTATGAATTTGACCTGTGGCCTCCACAGGAGATTGGCACCTTCTAAGTCCTTAAGATTCCATAGACTTGTAGACTGTATACATAGACTTGTATATTTTCTGGAATACAAATGTATTTATATAAAAATATAGAATTTCCTTGAAAATATGCAAATATGCATGTATAATTGCCACTTAAAAAACAACCCAAAACAGTGTTTCATACATCTCTGTTCTCTCTTCATCTTCTGCTGTGTAGCACTCATTTTTATGCACTCCCCTCGTGGGTTGTACCATTCTCAGAAAAACGTGCAGATCGGGACATGCCAAGAGGACAGCTTCTTACATCCTTTCTGAAGGGAGAGGGGAATTTAGCTTCTGTCAGTGAGCAGACAATGGAACAACAGGGGCCTGACAGTCTGCAGACCACACATTGGACATACTAAACAAAATCTGTACAGCCCTGGCTGGACTGGCTCGTTGGATGGGAAGTTACAATCCAACACATCAAACTTGACAAAGCTGCTGTAAGCAAAGCCAGGGCCTGGTGATTCACGGCAAGGCTCCAGTTACCGATTCATTTTGTTATGCGTAATGGTAAATTCATGCCTCACATTTAAGCCCTGAAAATGGCCCAGAGGCCTGCATGTGGCAATGAGCTCTTGGCGACTAGAGGGCAGGGAGTTGAGCAGCAGTGCTAGCAAGGCCAAGGGATGATTCTGCCCAGCAGCCCTTGTGCCGCTTGCTGCTAAAAGGGCTGTGCAGACTTGCTTAAATAAGTTCCGTTTACTTCTCTCAGATCATCAGCAGCTTTCATTCCTTTGTCTGCTCATTCAGGGAATCTAATCCCCCCCCCCCCCACCACCACCACCACACACACACTTTCCTGGTCTTGTATTTGTGGCCGTTGTGCTCTTCAAATCACCCAAAGGCACATCGTTGCAGTATAGCCTAAGGGAAAAAATGCATATTTTCTGACTTTTTCCCATTTTTTCTATGACTTAGTTTGCATAAAATTCCAGAAAATGAAAAGAAAAGTCTAAAAATTCTGTATGACTCAGAAAAGGCCAGTCCACTGGGAATCTGTGGGCTGAATTCGCAGAAATCCGAGTTCACGTGAATCGGTTGTGGATTCCTCCATCTCAGCCTTTAATGGACCAAGCCTGCTCTTCTGGGAACACCTTACGTAATGCAACCCACAGGAGACCGAAAGGAAGAGCTGCAGCATTTCTTCCTCCAGGTTTTGGCTTTGCACATGTAGCATTCTTGACCACAGGATTATCTGCTAATCAGTCATGAAACGTAATTGTTATGGACATCCATTAACCCAAAAGGCTGGTGTGGGGTGGTGTGGTGGACTCAGAGCTCACAGGAACACAACCCCAAAACTCTCCTTGATAATGGAGGCACTGGAATCATGTGCCGCCACTGCCGCCACAGAAAATTCCTGGTTCCTTTTGTGCTCTGCTGTAATCCTCACAGTAGCTGCGGAAAGCGAATTTTCCCACCATCAGTGTATCGCTCCATGTGGCAATGAAAAGTATTTTGCTGTGGCTTGATCTTGAATAGGCACTGAGGACCCGTTCGGTGTGCCAAAGCCTTGCTCCTGGTCTGAAAGCGGGAGCTGGGACTGTTTGCTGGTATGCAGCACAGCTAGCGTCATTGCTGGACTCTCTGGGGGCGACGGTCACACTGAGTGTCCGTACCGCAAAATGTGCCGGTGCATCATGGCCAGCAGGTTCCCTTTTAGTCCACACTCAGAGAGAAAATGGAGTCTTGCTGCTTTCTGGGAAGTAAGGGTGCCCCCTCTTTTGCTTTAAGGCAAAGAGGGACAATGCTAATCGCAAGCATTTTGGAAGCCCCGACCGCCATTCATGTCTAATTAGTTGATAGCTCTGGATGTTGACAGACAAGCCTGAAGTTATTTCCCCATAAGAAGCTGGTTAATAAATTCAGAAAGACACTGGAATTTCTCACTGAAGATTATATTGTCAGTTCTACTGTATTGCCAGGGTGGGGGCTGATGTATGTAGATATAGAGATTCAGTCCTTGCTGGTTTTAATGAGCTCCATGGCGTGGGTGGCTGCATAATACTGCTCAATAGCTCGTCTATCACTGATGGAGGGATTATGCTTAGCAACATTGCTTGGCAACCAATCTCAGCATCTTGTGTTCTAGGAATATCAATTCTTCTAAAAAGAATTGGAGATAGTACAATCATCTGCTTCAGGGTTGCGAATGGTGGCAACTTTCAGGCATGCACCCCTCGTGGCAAGCTGTCCCATGCTCTGCAAATGTGGATAACCATTGGGCTCTGGATTTCCCCCTTCTCTCTTTCAAGCAACAGATAGTTCTTTGGCAAAACCTATTTATTTCCCATGTACATCCAGCAAGCTATAGCAAGCAAAGAAAGAGCCTCTGAGCATACACAGAACAGTTTGTTGTACCCAGAAAGGATTCCCAAGAGTCCTCTTTTGAGTAACCCTGCACCCCACCCCTCTAGGAGTGCCCCTTTGGAGATAGGTTGGGCTCCTAGCTGTACACAAGCCTCTAGTTGGCTAGCCCTTCACTCCCAGTGCTGCGTCATGGGGTCAAGGATCAGACTGGGCTGCTCTGGCTCCTCTCTCATGTCCCCTCCCAGCACTCCAGATCCTGTCAGTTACCAGAGTCTGTCTGAACACCTGGAGTTGGTGGCCTCAAGATAAGCTCCTCCTCCTCCTCCACCACCTCTGTGTCTGCAGGCCTTGTTTCCCAGGCCTCACCATCCTCTTCGGAACAGGCAGTGCCTACCTGGCTCTGAAATGAATGCCAAGAACAGCTGCATCTTTCATTTCCAACAATTACTTACCTTCTCCATCCTGTCACCCACCAGCTGGGTGGGATTGCAGCTGCCATAACTCCTAGCCAACATGGCCGATCGAAAACTGGATAGTGAATGCCATAAGCGGGCAAGTCACACTTTGTCTTGGCTCACAGGACCACAGGGTGCTCATAAGCCACAATGGCTTGTTAACCACCCTGCACACACCAGTTGCATGGTAGTCGCATTTGCAAAATTACCCGCTTCTTCTGTTGTTTGCACCTAGCAAGGGTGGCTTGTTGTGGTCTGTAATAAACCACCCAAAACGCATGGGCTGTTGCAGCATTACAGAAAGGTTCATTAGCCACTCCAGCAAGTCGCCTTCACCAGCTTCAGGTGACATGAGAAGTTGCACTGGCAAAGGTAATCACAAACATCTGGCCAGCTTGTGATCAGCGAGTTACCCAACCTGCAGTGGTACAAACCAAACACCTTCCTTTAAATCCACCAAGAAAGCAGAAAACAGCCACGGGGGCTTCTTCTGCCTGCTCCTCCCACAATCCTGTTTTCACCTCCCTCACCTGGTATGCCGCACCCTTTTCTTCATCCTCATTACTGCTGCAGGGGAAAGCTCAAGCAGTTGTTTTGCAACTGATGTGACAAAGCTTTTCTCTAAAGTAGGCAAAGGGTAGATCACACCCCTTGAGTGGAGCATTGACAAGTCTCCAAGGGACCATCCAGGACAGTCTCCCTCAACACAGTGTCTGCCAGATGTGGACAGCTCTTTCCATCATTTTCAGCCAAGAGGCAAGACTGCTTTGCAATATAACCCACTCACACTATTGCTAACCTTTGGCCATGTTTTCTGGGCCCAGTGGAAGATGCAGTCAAAATATCTGGAGGCACCACTTTGATGAAGTTGGACCATAAGGAAGGCTGAGCACCGAAGAATTGAGGTCTTTGAATTGTGATGCTGGAGGAGACTCCTGCGAGTTCCTTGGACCGCAAGGCGATCAAACTGGTCAGTCCTAGAGGAGATCAACCCTGACTGCTCTTTAGAAGGCCAGATACTGAAGATGAAACTCAAACACTTTGGCCACCTAATGAGAAGGAAGGACTCCCTGGAGAAGAGCCTAATGCTGGGAAGAATAGATGGCAAAAGAAGAAGGGGATGGCAGAGAATGTGGTGGCGAGATGGAGTCACTGAAGCAGTTGGTGTGAGCTTAAGTGGACTCAGGGGGATGGTGGAGGACAGGAAGGCCTGGAGGAAAGTTGTCCATGGGGTCGTGATGGGTCAGACACGACTTTGAAACTAGCAAGCAAGCAAGCCTAGTGTCTGTTGAGAAACTTGCCAAGAGTCTGCAGCAAAGATTGGTCCTTGGTCTGATTCAGCCAGAGGTGAGGCAGCACCAGTAGCGCCTACCTACCTGCTTGGAATCCTGGCTGCAGGCCCATCGGGCAGCAGCCATAGCGAAGCTGCCTCCATTTTGAATTTTGCATTTCTCACAATGGCTAACATAATGTTGTTTGTGGGCGTTGTGAGATCTCAACAGTGTGAGCAGCTTCTCAAGTCCAGCAGCTGCTGTTGCTGGGAAAGCCCAGAGCCTGGAGGCCTGGACATGTGCTCAGGGTCACATGTAAAGCTTCACGTCGAGGAAGAAGGGGCCACCATGGATCATTTTGCCAGGGGCTCCCTCTAAACTGGGGCTGGTTCTGAATCCAGTACAGCACCTAGGATCACTTATTTGGATTATTTGTTTCTTAACCATTAAAGAATCCTGAATATTCACTTTTGGTTTATTAACTCTGGAAACAAGTCGAAAGAAACAAAAAATAGACCATGCAT